CACACACACACACACACACACAATCACTCGTTCTTTGTGTGACAAACATATTTTACTCTTATTTTTATGGGGTAAGACAACTTTCAGAAAGATTCGTACATGTAAGAGTCTAAATTTGTACATTTAAGTCAATAACCGTGCATAAATTTTAGATTTGTATTTGTATTCATGTATGTTTTACTTAGAATTTTTTTTCTCACTCATATTATATTTAATTCATTGTTTTCCTGAATCTAGAAATCATTTCTGATCGCGCAGGGATCATACAAACATGTYCTTCACAAGTTCAGGAAGTAATTTGCATCTGTTTAACATACGTTAATGAAGGCGTGTCAGGGGAGGTGTCTCACCTTTGCTCAGTTCCACGTTGATTGTGATGTACAAAAGCAATGTGCGTGGATTCAGGTGTAGGCAAGGTTTGATACGTCTCGATTTTTTTGTGCGTACGCCATTTTCTGGATTTGACCGTACATCACGTTTCAGTAAGAAATCAACGCAAGTCTTTGTACATGACGCCCCTGGTCACTATTCCACACTGCCTAACAACCCTCAAGTCTAAGATCTGGGTGTCTCAGATCATATGGCCATCTCAGTGGAACATTTAATCAAAAGGACAAACATCAGATATTATTCAGAAACAAAAAGAACTTAAACACTGAAATTATGTTGATCTTCAACTTGCTTTTTCTGAAACCCCTTTATCAGTAAATGAGTCAGTGGTTTTATACTGTATAACAAAACCCTGTCTTTTGAATCTCCATGCCCCCATCAGAACCAAATCTGTTATTTTCTATGTTCTGCCCCCTGCTATAATCCTGATTTAGGGAAAATAAAAGCAGCAGGCTGTGATTTAGAATGAAAATACAAAACCTCTGGTTTAACCGTCCACAAACAAATCTTTTATGAGCACCAGAAGACCTATTCCAGATCCTTAAATGAGGAACGATCACTCTGATTTCCCAACAATATTCAGTGCAACCCAGGACACTCGATGAAACTTTCCTCCACAGTTCATCCCCTCATTGGACAATGCTCTCCCATAAATAACATTCAACAGCTGACCAGTGCAATACCTTTTTGAACTGCTTTTGCACCAAAACTAGCACAACACGTTCTGTTCTATCTCCTATCTATAGTATCACCTGAACAGATTGCTGATGAATCAACACTCCAGAACTCTCAACCGCTTTGCTCCTTTTTTCCTGTCTCTCAGCAGGAGATCTTTGACACTGTCAGGAAGATGAAGCCCACTACATGTGCCCCCGACCCCTTCGCTTCCACTCTGGTCAAGACAAATACTTCAGCCATTGGTCCTTTAATCACTATCATCACCAATATGTCTCTTCAGTCTGCTTCTCTTCCAGCACCACTGAAAGCTGCCATAATCAAACCAGCCATAAAAAAAAAAACATTCTGGAGCCAGAAATCTTTACAAACAACAGATCTCCCCTTCCTCAGTTCTGGACAAAGTCTGGTTTCCGCTCTTCACGTTCCACTGAAACAGCTTTGATTCGGGTCACCAATAACCTGTTGATGGCAGCAGATGCAGACTCATCATCTTGGCCTGTTTTCAGCATTTAATTGATCACAATATTCTCCTAAACCATCTCTCTCACCTAATGATACTGTTCTACCTTTCTAAAAGGACTGAACACGTTGCCATCAGGGGAGGCAAGTAAAAGACTCATACAGTCACTTGTGGTGTTCCTCAGGGCTCAGTTTTTGGCCCTACACTATTTGCATTATACATCCTTCTACTGCTATGCTGATGACACTCAGCTTTATATAAAAATAGGCTGTCATCCATCTGCATCATCTTCTACATCTCTTCATCACTTTCAACACTCACTTCCTGTCTGGAGGACATCAAGTCACTGTTTTGGCTGGATGCTGACAAACTTGTCCATGTCTTTGTATCTTCAAGACTGGACTTTTGCAATTCCATTTTTTTCTGGCATCTCAAAAAAAATTCTTCAAAAACTCCAGTTCACCCAAAACAGCGCCACCCGGCTTCTGACAAAAATCAAAAAACACGGGAACATCTCATCCGTCCTGCATTCTCTTCAATGGCTTCCTGTCTGTGACAGAATCCAGTACAAGATTGGGTCTTCTGACACACCAGTGCGTACAGTGAAAAGCCCCCCTCTACCTTACAGAGCTGCTCCTCCCACGCAACAAAATTTGTTCTCTTCGTTCCAACAGTTTCTGCCATCTCTAAATTCCCAGAACAAAGCTCAGCACTATGGGGGATCGAGCCTTTTACGCTGTTGCTTCTCATCTGTGGAATTCACTTCCAGACCATTTAAGGAAACCACAGACAGTAAAATCCTTCAATAAAGAATTAAAAACTTTTCTGTTTTGTAGTTTTTATGGCCCTGATTTAAGTGAGTTTTGGTTATATATTTCTGTTGCTTTTAGAACTTTTATGATGTTGCACTTTGAGATTTACAAATGTAAAGTGCCCTATAAATGAAATCCATTATGAATAGCAATATTATTATGGAATGACTTCATTACAAATAAACTGTAAATGAAAGCTGCTTCAGCCCAAACATTGGTTGTACAATCAAAAAATTACATGAGGAAGCGCTTGAACCAAAACCACAACACAGTTTGAACTTTAGTCCAGTTTGATCAGGGAAAATAATGCACTGACTACATTTGTGTTTCCATGGTCACCAATTGATTTGCATAAGTGTACATGACAGAAAAAACAGTTCAAAATCAGCAGATGAATATAATATTGTCTAATGTAATTATTCCAAATTCATAGGTTTGTATTCATTAATATTCATTAGGTATAAATACAACAAATGAAAAAATAAAGTGCAATAGGATTGGTTTTAAATAACACAAAGCAATACAATTCACCTAAAACAGGAAAACAATAACCATGAAATTTAAACTAATTCTCAAAATACATGTTCTTTAAGTTTCAGATTTGACCAATTTTAAGTTAGTTGATAATACAAAAGATTAACAACATGATTAAATGCAGACTAACATTATTCACTTCCTTTAAATGTGATTTTATTTTAATTTCAGCTTCTCTCCATGTGCTCCATCCTTAACTTATAAATAAAACAGCTCATTTTTAATTTTACTTGCATGTTGGTAAAACAAAGCGTAATTTAAAATGTCTAAATAAATTGAGCTTAAACCCATCTAGCTTTGCACAAATGTTGCAATAGAGCCTGTAGGCTTTAAGTTCAGAGAGCAGCTCCTGATTAATATAATGACTTAATTAACATTCAGCTGAACCAGCAGCTTAAATGTGTCACCAGAACACAGTTAGATAAATTTGACCCCTACAGGGCAATCACTGACATGGTAAATTCAGAAGTACACAGAATAGATTCAGTGTGCACCTAATCTTGGCATGATTGAAATGATAATTATCCTTGTTTCACACTGACACGCAGCACATCACATTGTTGCATTAAACACAGGCCGCTCTTGTTTGATACGTTATCTGAGCTGTGTTTTATCTGTGTGTGTGTCTGTGTGCACAGTCACTCCTCGCAAATCTGACTTCTCCCCACGGTGCTAATTGGAGTCACCGAGAGCTTTCAGTTTGTAAAGTCCAATTTTCTTAAACAAATGTGCCCAGACTGAGGAATTCTTATGTAAATGAAGCATCAAAACTCTGCAACTTCAGTGTTATCGGAACACGACAGTTGATATTTTAAGACAAGAGGCTTATGAATAAAAATATGCTGGGTAATTAGTGTAAAGTGTGAGTAGAATGACAACATGTGTTGTAGAGTAGGTTATGGAAATCAGCTATTGCATAAAAWTACGTCTCTGTGATGGCACACAAATATACGCCCAGCATGCAAACACTGTTCATGTTGAGGTGGAGCTCAGTGTCAAATATTAATTTTAAGTGCAAGGTTGCATTAGCAAACATAAAACCAGGTACACCTACCTCATAATTTGGTGGAATCCTGGCACCAAACCCCAAAGCTGAAAATCGTTTATCACTAAAACAAAAAGCAAAACCAACTATTAAGTCAGTTCATAGCAGTTTAGATGATAGGCTGAAAAATACTGGTGGCTTTTCCATCTGTTCACATTTCCAAGGGCACACCTCCTGCTTGTTTTCATTTCATGACATGTTAAAAGCTTCAAAAACAGTTTGGAATCCGTCCCATCATCCCATTTGCACCTGTTCAAAGAGCCTCTCGTCGTCTTTCATGTCTCTATATTTCATTGTACCTTTTTACATGGGCAGATGTGACGGTAGAAGACTGCTCTGTTTGAGTGGGAGCCGCTAGTCAGAAACCAGGGAGCACACTGTTCTTTAAAGAACACAACAAATCTATATCTGGAAAAACTTCCTCAGTACATGATGAACCAAAACTTATTTTAGAATCTGAATTTGATTTATTGACCATGTTTACATGTATGGAATTTKATGTGGTGTTGTTGAGGTGCAGAACGTACAATGTAAACAAGGAATAAAAAACAAAAGTACAAAGGTTTAAAAAAGGTTAAATATGAAGTATATAGAAATAATGTCAAGAAAAGTAATTGGGTAAATTGTCTAAATAAGCTTAACGGAAACTAGCTAAGAATTGGAGCTATGGACTAGCAGTGCATAATAAAAATAAACAGCAAGTAAACGTTCTTGCAGATGAAAAATGTTTCCTGCAAATAAACTAAATTGCAGTGTGCACATGACATCGGTTCAAAAATGTTGAGTCTGTGTTTTAACTCAGTGATTCCCAATCAGGGGTACGTGTACCCCTAGTGGTACATGAGCATATTACAGTGGGTACATGGAAAAATTTCCCAGGTGTTTAAAAAAAATTCATAAAAATAGATTTTCGCAATGCGGAAATTGCAAACAGAATTACGGAATTGATGAAACAAAACGGAATCCCGTATAAAATGCAGAATCTCACAGACTTTGCTTTATTTGCTTTAGTTTCTGAGGTGTTTTGGATGCTGACACCTGCTGTACCTGCCATTACCTGGTTTATTTATTCAATTACTTATTCTATTTCAAGGCAACATATCTTTGTTTAATTTGAGTTGAAAACAATAAAAAGCCTGAGAATTAAATGTTCTAGGGAGTTAAATAAWTTTTTTTCATTTAATAATCAGCTGTTGTACATTATAGTTTTGAAAATTCATCATTACGTTTGACAGAGGGGGTACTAGTGGTATGACAAAATGGCTCAGGGCGTACACAAGTCTACAAAGGTTGGGAACCACTGTTTTAACTGACTGATTATTCCAAGAGTATAAGGGTTCAGTGTGTTTACATGAACGATGGGCAATCATGTAGTTTCCTGTCTTTCAGTCTATGGCTGTGTCCAAAACGACAGGCCGGGTCCTCCGGAGGACCCAGACTACCCAGTCGAGGTGGACCGGGTCCTTGGTAGACGGGGAAGACCGGAAAAAAAGAGGCTGTGAATTTGGACGGTCTAGCCTCCCCTYCTTACCCCGGCGTACGTCATGTCACCTAGCAACCGTGACGACGCTAAACAAGCAAACTTAAATCAAAATTAGAAAAATATCAGTACATTAGCATTATTAATATCACAAAACAATACAATTGACTTAAAGATAACATTTGAAAAACTAATTGACTCGCTGTAGGTGCATGTCTATTTCGCGTTTTTTATGACAAAAATAATATTTAAAAACATGTCCATACTAATGATATAAGTATTAGAATTACAACCGCTAATTTTTTTGAAAATTTTTAAATCACTATGTTTTTATTTAAAACGTATTCTTTTCTCTCGCTTCATCCGCCATTACTAGCATAAAAAAAATCTCCGGTCGGGCCGCAATGCATTATGGGATACGCTGGGCCGGGAAGGATCCATCAGACCAGTCCTTCGATTCGGGCCAAAGGAAGGACGTATTTGTCGGCCGCATCGGAGGAGTCTTTGGTTTTCGACGGCCTTTGTCGCGGGGCTGTGACGTATGCGGCCGACAAATTCGGCCTTCGGAGGACCCAGCCTGCCATTTTGGACACAGCACATGTGTTTCTGTTAGCTAACTATAGCTAGCTAGTTAGCTAACTGAGAAAGATGTACATCTGTAACTGATTGACTTTYGGAGCCTGTTCAGCATGTCTGCAAGGGCTAATTCACCTTAGCTAACACAAAAAATGCTATAATTCAATCAATTTTAAAGACATTGAGCTAAAAATAACTAAAAGTTGAGAGTTATTCATAACAAGAGTTATTCTGAGTGCTAACAGATCACATACAATCAAACGTAACATTTTTTTTAATTATTTTTGACCAAAACAATTACATCTCATTTTTCAGCGTAAAAAAAAGATTAAAGATTAAAACTTTGGCATAAAGGCAATACTTTCAAGAAATGCTAAACTTATAATTTTATTTTTTTTCTTTGCCTAATCGAGTTTTACTTTGGTGGTGGATCAACAAACTGTCAAAGTGTTCCTCGGCTCATCCAATGAAAAATAAAAAATAAATAAGTTGTTGGTTGTTTTTTATTCTTGCCTGATTCCTTGTATACAAATTTCCACAGCTGTCTCTGACATCAAGTTCAACTCTATTTTCTCAAGACACATTTTCTCATTTCCAAACGCTTGATGTCAAGACTTTTTAGGTGACTATTTTTCAAATAAGGTGTGAACGATGTGTCAGACTTTTTTCATTCCTAATAACATTTTAAGCATCTACACACGAAGCTCATACTTTACCATTAAAAAAACAAACAGTTTTGAACCTTTGTTCACATCTTTCAATCTATTGTAATGCGGCAGAATTTGTGGCATGAAGACAAAGTGTAAAGCTGTCAGATCTTGTTTTCCGTCACATATGGGATTGTTTGCCTACAGACACCTCTCTGCAATGATTGCTTGTGTTATCAGAGCGTTTATTGTGCCTTTGTGACTGACTGACAAAATCTCCCCAGCTCTCCAGCTCAGAGCAATCACAAATAGCATCTCCTAACTAAGAAAAATCAGTTTGTGGCCAAAACATTTGAGATGATATCTTTAATTCAGTTAGTCTGGGGTGGGGTGGATCTGTAAAAGACAAGTTACAGTGAGGGGAGGTGTTGTTTGCTGTGTCGAGAAGTCGTGATAGTGTGATTTGAGTGGTTAACATTGCTCTGAGGCAACTTTCAGAGCTATTAGAAATGTTTGATTTACTCTGATGGATATGGGCTTACATAAACATTAACAGAGCGATGAATCAAGCAACTTCAAACTGGAAAGTTTTAGTTTGCTGAGCAACAAAACATTAAGTAGTTGTGGTAATTGTTTTGAAAATGACCGTTCTTGAATTGCTGTAAGAATCTACATGCGTAATGTTTACAGTGCCAATAATATAAAAAAAACCTCCTGAGAAATTAGAGCTGTGATAGAAAAACATCACTAGATTGGTTATATTGACCTTGTATGTGTTCCAACTATTGTGTGAACGCTTAAGCATGCACACTTATTTAGATCCATTTTTCTTCAAAATGTTTTTCATCACATCTCGTTCTGCAATTTTTGTGCTATTTCAATGATTAATGTGTCAAAACATTCAAYTCCTTCAAAACATTCCACTTTATGACTTTTGGTACTTCAGCAATTTGCACTTTTTGAGATATTTAGTTTTTTCTGCCATCATTCTCTTATCGAAAATGATTGGAGCTGTCTTCAGCATCCTCAAAACCCTTCAAAATGTTCCTAAATATTTATTGTTCTTTTTACCAATTGTTATGATTCTGCTTTTTGTTTTTACTCCTTTGCTCTAATTTCACTTTCCTTCAGCTGATTTTAACTTTTCTACTGATTTCAACTTTTCAGTGCTTCTTTCAGCTATTTTAAGCTTTGTTCAACTGTTTTCTGTGTTTTTAGTTAATTTTTAGAAAATTTGAGCTCTTTCGTTATTCATCTACTGTTTTAACTTATTTTTTAGGCTAGTTTTAGCCTATTTAGCTGTTCTGTTAGTCTTTCGCAACTGGGGATTGACAGCATTTTCACAGAAAATGCAAATTCTGTCCTTTTTTCTTTTTAATGACATCTGAAAAAGTTTTTTTTTTCTTCTCCACCATCCTACGTTCTATTACTAACGTGTCTAATTGGATCCAGGTTTAATGCATTCCAGCAACAAAGAAACTAATAGATTTTTTTATTCAATACATTCATTTGTTCGCTTGTAATAGATTTTTTTCTCCATCCAAATATAAACATTGACTAGAAGCCTCTCACATCTAAAAAAGTTGACTCACTGTATAAAAAGAATTGTGTTTTGCTATTGGATCAACAAGCTTTGTCAATGTATAAAGCAATATTTTATAAAAATGCATTGAATGGGGAAAGGGTTATTCAAGCCTGGTTTTTCTCTAAAATACTCTTATTTTGGTTGAAGATATGGCAAATATAGAAAAGTGATTATCTTGAGCTCTACACTCAATAAAATTGTTCTCGTATGCTTTTTTATCATATGTCAAGACATCATGAAACTCCATGAATGTAAAAGACATGGCCCCTCAGTTCCTGCTGTCTTCTTTTGTCTGCACATATGAAAAGCCACATAAGGTAACAATCCTCTCAGAGATGTAATCAACTCTCTACCCACACTGACAAAAACTAGTCACTTCAACACCATAATGCACTCATCTGCAGGGACTCAAAAATCCCACATCACCTGTGTTCACTAAAGGCTAAAAGGTTCATTTGCCCACGCTTTACACCGCAATAACGATTCTGGCTGCAGAGGGAAGAGCTTCCCACACCAGTTTCCCAGAGGCATGTTTCCATATGTGATGCTTTTTGTGTGTGTAAAATATGTAAACATGAAATAGATGAAGCTACCAAGAGAAGCTACTAATTTCCAGGCAGGTTTTCAGTGTCTTCTGTGCTAAAATTAGGAAGACAGTGCTCCCCTGACATTCAATATGAGGATCTGCATAAATCAGGAGTCAGGGTGGTAATCCTCATCTGGCTTAATTTTGACAGATGACTGAGAGTTTTTCTCCAAATCAGATCATATTATGAATCATTTGTCATTAATTAGTAAGGTGCTGGTTGTCCTTAAAGAAAAACATCTTTAGAGGTCCAAGCCTGTGGAGCAGGGGAATGCAGCTGCAAAGCAGCAGTGTTTCCATGTCTCCAGCGGAGCATGGAACCCTATTTTATCTGTTCCGTTTTTTATTAGGGGTCCAAGCCCGAGGAAGCAGGGTAACGCAGCTGCAAAGCAGCAGCGTTTCCATGTCTCCATCGGAGCATGGAACCCTATTTTATCTGTTCCATTATTATTATTATTATTAAGTTATTATTTAAAAAAAATCAGACATGTCAACCTACAGCAGGTGCTATAACCAATATCTTTGCGTTTAGTCCTCTAGCTTCTAAAACATAAACCACAACCTTTTTTTATTTGCCATATGGCAACATAATCCCTGGACACTAAGTCACATGGTATAGGCCGCGCCCATTTCCACCTTATTTTTCTACAGCACAAAATTTGCAAAAACTTTTTTTTGCTTTTATTGAAAGGTTTAAAGTTCAGTCGCCACAAAACTCAACATCAGTATGCTGAATCTAAGTTTTGAAGGACAAGTATAAAAATGTTAAAATGTGTGAGCTATGCCTAGGCAAACAGCTTAGTCAAGCTAGCTAAACAGGAATTTTGCCATATCTTCAAAACAATAGCATATAATCAGATGAAAATCATACACCTATTACACGAGTCAGTTTTAAGTTGGTGGACCAAATGAGCTGAGCAGGTACAGGGAATAGGAGGAGGTATATGTGTGTGGGGGGGAAGGGGTGGGGGATCTGACATTAATATAGTCATTCTGTGATCTTTTAATACAAAGTAAATTTAATACAAATTAAATTCTGCTCTTGCTTAGTGTATCAGCCTCAAAACATGTTCAAAAGGATTTTTGGCTGAATATAAGATTGTAAGACTTGGTTGGRTGAGGACACATGCACACACACATGCATGTTTGTTCTATCATCATGGGGACTTTGCATTGACTTCCATTCATTTACTGGTCATTTCTAAAGTCTAACACTGACCCCTGACCTTAAAACTAACCCCAGAGGTACATACATAACTTAAACTCAATTCATACCTTCATATAAAGCTTGAGTTATATTTCAATACGGCGTGACAGCAGGTCTGTGATTGAGCAATTCCAGACATCTTTTTCTTAAAGGAGTATAAATGGGCTGAAGAYGTGGCTGGACATAAATTATCATGTTTCCTACCKCTGCCTCTCTGTTTATAAAAAGAAATAATGATGGCTGGATGTTGTGTTTTTTCACTCAACTATCAGCGTTGTGTTGGRTGACGTGTCCGCTGAGCAAAAAAAAAAATATATATATATATATACATGTACTGGTTAATGGTGGTGATGGAAAAAAAAACATGAACATCAGCTGCATGCTCACATTCAGCAGGATCAAACCAGCTGCTCTTCTAGCTCTTTTAACAAYAGGCTTCAGACAAAAAAATATTTTAAACAAAATAACATGCAGAAGAAATATCTACGCTGAGTCCTGTTCCAGTCCTGCTCTAGTCCAGCTCCACAGTGCTGCGTTGCTCCACACCCACAAAGTTCTAACCAATCACATGCTCTGAGGTGCAAGGTCTGCATCACTGAGTTCTGACTGGGGCCATTGTACTGTATACAATGGCTGTCACCAGGGGACAGCAGCAGGAAAGCAGATGGAAGTTATACAATTTTTGTCACTCAGCAGGGGAACAAGATGTGATCCTCAAAGTATAAAACAAGCTTATAGTGAACCCATCCATCCATCCATTTTCTGTACACGCTTATTCCTTTTTTTTCAGGGTCGCGTGGGTCACTGGTGCCCATATCCAGCAGTCACAGTGCGAGGGGCGGGGTACACCCTGGACAGGTCGCAAGTCTATATTGAACTCCTGACCCACAAATCGTATTTCCGCCAATGGGAACCGGGCTTTTGTCCCCGTTAAGAACAGTGGGTCCTCACCAGGCTGTGTATACTGGGAAAACTGTCAAAAATTGTCCCCACCAGGTAGCAAAAACATGTATACGCACACACAACAACAGCACATGCAGGGACTTCAGAGGGTYAAAGTAGAGGAATGAAAGACAGAGCATTCAGGAGTTATGATAAAAGCTTTGCAGTAAACATCATAAGAAAAAATTATGAAAAAGTTATATGAACAGTGGAATTGACAGAAAAAGGGGAGACAGAAACATAAGTGGCTGTAGATAATGAGATTCTATTTGGGAAATATAATGATGGATAAAATTACATCAGATGTACAACACAGATGTGCAACTGGGAGATACTGTTAGAAAGGCCAGATAGATATTGTTTGGACATGTCCAGAAGAGGCACAGTTGGTGTGTTTATTTATAGATGTTAATAAATCAGCTACCAATAAAAAGACAAAAAAGAAGGCCATAGAAGACATATGGATATGTAGCAACATATTTCTAGAGACCTGAATCAATTTAAGACACTAGGGACTCTAATACAGTGGTTCCCAAACTTTTCAGATTTTGACCCACAAAATACCAGCAGCAGAGACCTGTGGCCCCAGCTGTTGTCGGTTGATAAACATTATTTTCACGTCAAATAAACAAGAGCATAGTAACATTATTTATTACGCTATTTTTGTCCATTTTAATGACACTAGTCTTACTATTTTGTAACAACAAAGGCAAAAAATTGTTCTAAGTTGTCATTTTTTGTGTAATTATTTCAAAATATATTTTCAGGACCCCACCTTGATGTTTAGGACCTGACTTTGGGTCCCTACCCCAACKTTGGGAACCACTGCTCTAATAGATCTTATACTCTTCAGGCTACAACTCTGTGGTGCACAAGTTGATAGTGTGCTGGGGACGACCTGGGCCAAGATCGACATGCATAAATGGGCTTGGACCCCGGTCATAAGTGCTTCGCAGTTCTATTTTTTTTTAGTAATTTCTCTGCTTACACAGCCTCAACACGTAGAAACATGCAGAAACAGGAACTTCCACATCCAAATATGTCAGGCTTTACTCTGTCTTTCCGTCAGGTTTGACACCCTGCTGGGTTTTTTTTTCCTCCTGCCATAGAGCCTCCTACTTGTTTTTGAAGTGCCTGCCTATGGCGATGTCAGCCCCTATCTCAGCTGTAGTTCAGGGTAATGAGCCTCTGCACGCTAAGAGGGAGAGCCAGTCAGGGCAACAGTTACTGAAAGCTACAACTGTGAGCAGAGACAGTGACACACAGACAGCAGCACTACTACAAACAGAAGATCATCTTGTGTACAGTTACATACAGTTACTTCCTTAAACTATCTGTCATCAAGTACACAATCTATACACCTTTAAAGCAGACTGTGAAAACTACAGTTTCAATGTGTTGTTTTACTGATTGACATGAAAATAAACAAGCATGCAATAAAATGCAAATTAATTATAATCTAGTAATTACAACTCTTGGTGTACTTTTACTTTTTGGACTTGATTAAAGAGTCAACCACAGAGAAATTACGCATTGGAAACTAATTGCAAAAGAATAATACCTGAGTCAGGGTTTGTGAGTATTGCAAACAAACACCATAATGATAAGATTAGTATCGTGCATAATTGAAGCCAGTGGAGGCCAAAGATTACTTGCTCCAGTCAAATAATTTCCTTATCCATTACTTACAAAGAGGTTTAACAGAATGAAACTATCTCAGTCAAATGCCCTCTTTAAGCTGCACTAAGGCTTAAAACAGAACAGATAGGGACGATTCTAAATGTTGACATTTCTGGGAAACATAAAAGTGACAAAATGAGGTGCTGGTTAACAGCTCTGCTCCATTAGCGGAATAACAAACCAGTGAGCAGAAATGCAGCTGTCTGCTGTTCTTGTGTCAGTGTTGTGTAGTTTCCATTATTGTCCCTTTGTTGTGGTTCTGATGGAGTGGCTGCTTTCAGTGTGCGAGTCCACAAAAAGCACTCAGCTAGAATCAGGACACAGTGACAATTCCTGGAAGCACCAAACAAGTCRTTCACGAGAAACAGAAGACTGACAAACCTGTCATAGTCCTGACAGATCTCCCCTACTGCTATCAGAGCCTTTAGGTACTCATTGGGTTGGTACGGGTTGATGTAGTGCAATGAGCAGCTGTTCCTGGGGTCTCCGTTGGAGGCTGTGAAGTCAATGGCAACCTGATAAAAAAAAAGACAAAATGTACTAAATTACAGATGCATTCTAATCAAATGAGCTTTTATTTCCCTAAAGTTCTGAAAACACATTTACTCAGTTGCTGACTACAATAGAAGCTGTTTTAAAAAAGGAAGCACAGACTTTGTTAGAATAAATTCAGACCTAATTTAAGAACTTACACTGTTATTGCCCTCATAGACTGAAGAGGTTACATACTGCAGATGTAAGAAATTGCATCTACTGTACCACAATAKTCTTTATAATTATTATTCATTACTCATTTAATGCAGTAAGAGGAAAGAATGAGCTTTACAGAAGTCAAGTTGGAAGAAGTTTCTATTTGTTGAATCTGAAGTAAATGAAAAAACTAAATGTAGAAGCAGACAAAAATACAGCAAAACAAAGATATTAAAATGCAAGTACAGAAATGGAAATGGAAGTACAAAATAGTAATTACAGTAAATTGAGAAGAAAAATAATAATTTGAAGGTTTGTTTCATATTAGAACCTTACTGTAACAATGGTTTACTGACAGTGATGGGACACACAGGGTTTAACTTACTGTAAAATGAATTTGGCATCCTCCCATAATGTAATCTAAGAATGAGTACACTCTGTGGAGCTGAAAGGGAGGGAAAAAAAGAAACCAACGATTATTTCTTTCAGCCAAAACCTCTCAAGTGTTGCTTGGACAAAGAAAGCAACTTGTAAAAGTATGGAAAAACATACAAACAAGAATTAAAATCAATGAGAAAGAAACGTGTTCCTAAACCTGCTTTTATGCTGTGAGTTGCAATCCTGGGATAGAAAAACAACAACTGATTGATTCAGCTTCACTCCGAGTGCTTTGTGATAAACGTGAAATGTTCCCGCAGCAGATTCCTACCTTCAGGTCAGTGAGAATAACAACTCCTGAATTTTTATAGTTCCTCTTCTTCTGTTTGTACTTGAGATTCACACAGTCCCACGATACCTTGGAGGGAAGCAAGGTAAAAGTAAGAAACAAACAAATGATAAGACTGAAGCAACAGTTTATTGCATCCTGATGACATAAAAGCAGCATGACATTTGTTTTATGTCCGATCAAATTCAGCAGCATGAAGTGAGAAGCAGACTGGAAATGGATGAAGCAGTCACACAGCAAACTCTCCTCTCTTCTTCTCGGTTCTGCTTCTAAATTCACTGACCTTATTTCCACTGGAAATTTTCTGCATTTCCCTGAATGTGGCATAGAACTCGCCGATGAAGTCATGCTTCCCCCTGGAGTCATAATCCCACACGAGGCACTGTGGCACACACATACATTACTGCTTACTCTTCCAGTGTGGCTGGGTGTATTTACATGTTACACTRCCTAACTAAAGAAAAAAAATCATCACCTGGATTTAATTAAGCAGCCCAATATGTTTATTGAAACCTTGCGAGTTCAATTTTCAAGATTTTTTTTTTTACTCAAACTGATGCAACTTTTCATAAACAAAGACAGAAGACACTTCCTGTGGTGGTAGAAAGGATAAAACTAAAGAAATTTATGAACAAAAAACAAACAAAAAAATGTTCAAAACACCATTAAAACATGAAAAAAATAAAGCTGAACCAACATCTATGACGTGGAAATATGATTGAATACATTTTGAGCAGATATAAGTTAAAAACTTGCTGAAATTAAATTAATCTAGAAGCACTCGGAGAGTGCAAACCTCCGCCAAGGCCAATTCCCCCCATCCTGCAATAGAGTTAATGCGCAGAAGGAGAGATGGAAACACATTTGCTGAATAAGTTCTGACATAGTGAACATTTAAGCAGGCAGTGTGCATGGGATTTCTTCCCAGTAGAGTCCAATGTGAAAATAAAAGTCAGAGACTCGTCACCCGATGTTATTCATCCACAAACTGGTCCCAGGTTAAGCTCCAAAGTTTTCATCAGTCAGATTCCACAGGGTAAAATGTATGTTTTATTCCCTTTTATGAGTTTTTAACAGTTTGGCTATCTTTATAAGCTGCTGCTTCCTGGTACAGTCGGCTCTGGAAGCGAGTCACCTTTTTTTTGAAGCRAGTGGTTGAAGCAAAATAAAATTCAGCATCTGAGTGCTTTCAGCACAAACAAACACTCCCCTAAACTTCTGACCAATCACACAATAAAGTTCTTATGTGGAGGGGGTACCTCCCATGGTTGATCAGCTGTTCCCGCTGTCCAGTACCAGCTTTGGCTCAGCTGCAGCAGGACCCTCCCCCCYSCTGTCGGTGTCTTCTGTTATTCCCGTAATGTGAAGAGAATCGCATTTCTTTTCCTATGTCTCCAGACAGCATGTAACATCACCAAAACTAGATGATAACAGAATAATCACAACTTTCCCGATAGTAGACATCCTGGGAGGTTTAGTCCCAGTTAGTTTGCGACTTGTACTTCCTGTTTCCTACAGGCGTGCATCTGAAGTAATGACACTTTACATAGCCTGGCTGATTCGCTTGAATTAAAAGAAAAATTCCTGTATCCGCATTGTGATCCAGATCATCACCAAAATTTAAAGGTGTGTTCCATTGGCCAATACCCACATGTGGTAAAAATTTCATGACAATCCATCCACAAGTTTTTGAGTAATGTCCACAGACAGACAGACAGACAGAATGACAGAGAGACAGACATACGCAACTAAAAACATTACCTCCTCTCTTGGCAGAGGTAATAAAATCAACAAATTACATGATTGTGTGGACTTGGAAAAAAAGGGAAAAACAGGGTTCAGTTTGTAAAAAAATGTATAAAGGTTAGTTTAGAGAGATGAAGAGCATCTTAATGCTCTGGTTAGTACTGCACCCAACATACAAATTTGTGATCAATCAATCCATCACTCAACATTTATTTATAGAGCCACAAAATGTGTTCGAAGTGATTCACAGGACAAAAACTTAAAACGAATTGTAAGAACAGCAGAGCCATTAGGTATTACAGACTGGATACATACTATGCTTTAAATCGTCCTGATGCATCTCAGTAATCCAGGTAAAAAATCAAAAAGAAAAAAATTGTATAGGTCTTCTGGACGGGTTCTTCTCTAATGAAACGTTTCGTCTCTCCTCCAAGAGACTTCTTCAGTCTGAGAGTTTCAGGCAAAATTCAGGCTTTTAAGCCCTGCCTCCATGTGACAGATACTCACATCACATGGCTATCGTTGACACCTAATTAACACCTATTGTTAACAGGGGGTGGAGTGATACTGGCAATAGCAGCACTGTAGGAGGGGGACAACTGAAAACGGAGGCCTCCACCTCTGTTTAATGATGTACGGTCTTTCTTCACAAAAATGGCTTCTTTTACTCCTCTCTCAAACCAACGTTCCTCTCTATCAAGAATGAGAACATCCTCATCTTTGAAAGAGTGACCGCTGGCCTGTAAATGAGTGAAAACTGCAGAGTTCTGGCCATTAGATGTAGCTCGTCTGTGTTGGGACATTCTTTTGAACAGTGGCTGCTTTGTTTCCCCGATGTGTCTCAGATCAACTCGTTTTGAGACTGTCTCTCTAAATCCAGACAAGGTGCTTCACACACCTCCCCTCTCCAGCTTCAAATGGTCCGTTCTAGCTTGATAGAGTGGTTCACGACTATATATTACCACAGATGTGTTTTATTTACAAATTAATTAAAATATGTCAACAAGGGAAGGCTTGTCCGTCCAGCCTTACATGTTGGAACCAGAGTCTGACCAAGAACCAGAGGAGAATGAAGACAATCAAATTGTAGTTGGTAAGTCCAAACCTTATTTGGCAGCTCGATCACAAATACTTTGACCTACTAGTTCAGAAAATGTCATAATAGAGAAAACTGAAATACATGAATAATATACTGTATGTCCCAAACAGAATATAAATCTTCACAGCACCTAGAGACTAAATTCAAATTTCTGCACTCCTAGAGATTCCAAGTTCACAACAAAATGTATTAACGGCTAAAAAGGTGGCCTATGTATGATATGGTCTCCTTTACAAGCCTGCCTGACTAAATCAGTTTTAACATTAAATGAGAAAAGGCCCAGCTCAGTGATCAGCGCAAGTCCTAAGGAATTTGTTTCCACAGTCATTGAGCAGCAACCAAAAAGGCCAGTGTGACTTTGAGACATGCAGTAATGATGTATTAGTTGACTTTAAGGTCGACTCGTACTCAAAGAAAGCAACTATATCAGCTAAATAAGATGGGGCGAAACCATTAAGAGCTTAATATGAGTCATTGTTTCTTTACACTGGGTCAGGTCAAGGCTCCGCTTCCACAATCTGGACCCCGAAAAATAAAGKTATTGTATTATCTGAAATAAACAAAAATAAATAAATAAAAGTGAATGCCCCGGTTTTCCCATCGGTGTATGTTTTCATCCCTGATGGCACAAGCATATTTGAATGTGACAGTGTCAGGATTCATCATGCTCAGAATGTGAAGGATTAGTTCAGGGAGCATGAGACAGTTTGTCACACATGGGTTAGCCACTACCGGACCTTAACCCTACTGAGAATCTGGGGAACCTGCTGAACAAGTCTTTATGAAGCTGTTGGATACAAAAAAATGTGATAAATTACTGAAAATACAAACAGAAATAAGCATGTAACATAAAATGAAACATATCAAGGTTGTTAATACAGTTAAAGGTGATCCAAAGAGATGTAATTAGTTCTTGTCCAGACACTTCATTAAGAAACTGATATAGTAGATTTTAGTGATACAAACAAAAAATAAATACTAAAACATTTCTCACCTTGAGCTTTCGCTCTTCGTTACAGCTGCACAGAGACATGAGCGACACTTTGAAGGGCTCCCACACTGGATTCAGGTTGTTTTTAATCACCTGTTGGGTTAGGAGAACATCAACCTGCAGCTTAGACGGTGTAAACAGCTGTTGGTGAGAACGAGGAGGAAGCTACCTCAGTTCTGTGGACGAGCTGCTCAGTTCCATCGTCATTGATTCGAAATATTTCCAGAAAAGGGTCTGACTTGCTGAAGAGATCCTGCAGAAGCGAAAAGAAAAAAATTAAAATGTTTCATAATGTTAGACACCGTGGCACAGGTGGTCTAAATAGGATGAATGATGATGAAAGTAAAGGTTAAACAGATGCAAAGAAGATTAAAAATAATTTAAATGCAACTTTTTTTTAAATTCTGATTTTCATTTTTATCCTCTCTTAGACGATCGTTTGTTCAGCATAAGATCTAACGTCGTGCAACTTCACACTCAAACACCAAACTACAGCGTATTTTTCTGAGCTAATGAGAACCTCTCTGACTTTTGCATGGAACTATATTTATTCWTTCTCTTTTGTTGACGTCACCAGTTTGATGTTTGTTTTTCAGCAACCTAAAACAAAAACTCATACATAAGTCTTAACAAGTCTAGATACTGTGATGTGTGCGTGTGTGCGTGCGTGTGTGTGTGTGTGTGTGTGTGTGTGTGTGTGTGTGTGTGTGTGTGT